CTTGGCACTACAGATATTGATTGATTCATGTGAGTCTGAGTCTTAAAGGGATGTAATGGTGCACAATGAATCAATGAACAGTTCAAGCGGCATGAGCTTGACCTGGCGCTGCAATGGGAAATCGTGATGGGTGGCCACGTGGAAGAACTGGTCCTTGACATCTTCAGGGATATAGTAGTCCTCCAAGATCTCCAGCCTCAACTGTTTCATATAAACAATACAACACTGTAAACTGCATGCAAATCCCTGCCAGGCTGCATCACAGGGTTTCTGTCGATGGTAGGGGCTACTTCTTCATCGTGCTCCTCTGCTTCCTCCTCTTCCGCCTCCTGGTCGATTTGCTCCTGCTCAGCCTTGTAGGGCTCCGACTTCTCAGGAAGACTCGGATTCCACGCTGTGAGGTCCGCCAGCGCACCGGCAGGTGCCAGTGGAACACTGTGCTCAAGTGTTGACATGAATTGAAGTTCCACAAGTTTTGGCTGCAGCCTCTCCCACACAGCATTCGCCAAACTCGACACCATGTTCTCAATTGAAGATCGAGCTGAACTGTTGCTCGGCAGTGCAGCACCACCACCTAGGAATGTCTGAAAGCATTCCCCAACAGCCATCTCACATGCCGTCATCATCGGAAGTGTTGGGTTTGCTGGCGCCGGCGGAGGAAAGGCAGGTTGAACTGGATGTGTTGCTGCCAGACGTGCATCCCTTGGATGTAACGGACGAGACTTGGGCGGATCTTTCGGTTCCGGCACACCCTCTGGAGAATCAACCTCAACCACTGACACTGGCGGCTTTGGCGGCTTTGCAGCCGGCTTTTTCGGCTTTGCAGGCATGCTTTTCGTAAGAGGTGCTGGCTTTGTTTTTGCCGTTGCCCCTACTTCTGCTGATGCCCATTTTTTTGCTGGCGGTCTTGCTTTTGGTGGTGCTCCTGCTTTTGGTCCTGCCCCTGGCTCGTCTGTTGATGCTGTTGCGCTGGCTTTTGTTTTTTTTGCTGGTGATGCTTTTGGATCATTGGTCCACTCTGGAGCGGGCACTGGTGGCCTGGCAAAAGCCGGAGTAGCAGAACTGGAGGATGCAGGATCACCACCCCCTCTTGTGGCGTCATCGACATCTGTCTCCGGGATCTCAAGCGGAGCAGTTCGTGCTCTTTTGGCATCTGGCAGCACCTCAAATGCTTTGCATTGAAGACGACACACACACACACACTCAATTGAGGATGTCAATTGTGACTGAAATGTTATTATTTATTCTTGAAGCTGAAGCGAAAATGTAGTGTTGCTCCCAGCTGCTGCTGCTGCAGCAGTTCCTCTTGACTTCGTCTTCTGATTTCGCTTCTGAAGCTTCTGAAATGTCCTGGCAGGTAGGTCCACGGGATGTTCCTGCTTGTCCTTGACCATTCTTGTTTTCAAGTTCCTGAGTCAAAGTGGTACGTGTTGGCACTACAGGGCAGACTGCAAATCAAATCAATGCGGAATTCGAGTCCAGGCACATCTGAATGGAAGCCCAATCAGTCTGATTTGCAAATTGGTCGGTCCATGTGTTCCAAGCATTTTGCAATGCTGCCTTCCATTCATCCGACGACCAACCAATGGACGGCAGGAGATGCTTCTGCTTCCTGATGCACACTTTGGCAGAACCATGGATTGCATTTAAATATTTACATATTACAACCTCAAAACAACATTCGAAAATCTGAAGCTGCTCAGCGACACGTGATGGCCATTGGCGAAGTCGATAATGTGCTGTTGATCGGCAGCGATGGCACTGTGATCTTGTTTCTGTGCCTCTGGACTAAAGTGTCGAACCATGCGACGCATTCGATGCCACAGACCTGCACTGACAGCTGATACTTACAAAAACTAGACAATTGAGTGTCACCTGGACCAATGAGTCAGTTCAGCACAGCGACTTGGAAGAGAGCCATGACCAACGCAATCATGGCACACGTCCTGTGCCATCCCGCCGAACAGCAGATCCTGACAATTGAAGGACCACATAGGAGGGTTATAATTATCCTAGTCCCTGAACCTAAAAAAAACCTCCAAGACCTTCAGCATTCAAAGACTCGAGAAGCCTGAGCAACTTGTCGGGAAAATTGAGGATGAAGTGGAGCGTCTTGAGCGCTGCGGGATGACTATACACCTCGGTCATTAGGGTGAATTATTATTAAAATTAAAATTAATTATTATACAACTCGATTCATGAAGCAACACCTGTTCGACCAGGCACCTGTGCCATGATATGCTGGTATAGGCCACATTCTCTGCTAAACCTTCCTCCTTCGGCCTCCCTTGGCTTCCATCCATGACTGTCACTGTCACTGCCCTCAATTGTCAATTGAGTGAAACTGAAATGAATGAAAAATGTACAAATGTCATGAAGCTTCGACACGTGCATTGACTGCTGCAAGCGAACCTCCCATTTGTTAGAAAAGTTACATTCCCTGTCCAACCTCTCCAACAAGTCTGCCATCTGAGGTGATGGACGATTTCCATGGTGGGCAACCCCATAACCAACGATCACCACTCTCTTCGGCCAAACGTAGGTTTTGCCGCCCAGGAAAACTGACCTCGAAGTGTTGGAGCAGAAAGCAGCTGCCGAAGAGCTCGGGTTGTCAATAGAGCTCACATCATCAGTAGCATCAATAGCCGGTTCGTGGTCTCTTGTTTCTCTCGGGGTCCTTCCACTTGCGTCCCCAATCGTCCGAGTCGTCTTCTTCTTTGCCCCGCCCCAAGTCACCGGAACTTTTCGTTGAGGCGTCTGCTTTCTTGCTGCCGTAGTTCCCGACATCGAATTGGCTGTATACTATCCCCAAGCTTTGATTGTGCCTCGAATGAACACGGAATTGTAATGATGAAAGCTTAAGCGCCAAAAAAAAGGGCTGCATCAATCTTTGCCAAAGTGCTCTCTAACGTTCTTGTTACAGGCTGACAGAATCCAGGCTTCTGGTTTCTGGATGCCGTCTCTTGCCCGTTTGAAAGATCTCCTCAAATGTTGTTGCATTGAAACAATGACATGTCAGGTAGCAAATTATTCTCAATTGGAAATTGTCTGAAATGTACTGCAGGTGTCACAAGATCACCAGCCTTTCTCGGGCAGAGCAAATAGAGCAAGTAGATTGCTTGCTGTGCTTTCCGGAGATCCTGGCCCTGCTCCTCGAGACACAATTCCTCAGGGAGATGCTGGAGGGCCACACTCGACATAGCACAACTTGAGCCAGAACTGCAGCATTAGGTTACAAGGGGCTCACAATCAATCACCAAGCAAGCTGACACACACACACACACACACACTCACTGAGCCTTCCGCGCAAATATCACTCACATGCCTTCTGAAACGACTTCACCTGGCAAAATGCAAATTTCATGCCAGCCCTGCCCCCCCCCCGGCTCTGTCAAAACATGCCAGGCAGACCTTGCCATTGATGCTACCACAATAGTTATACTACCGCAAATCATGCTACCACAATTAGCGCTACCACAATTGTTGCTACCACAATTGACAAATTGATGCTACCAGAACTGATGCTACCAGAATTGATGCCACTGCAAAATCGAATCAACCAAGCCAAGCAATGCCATGCTGACTACCACAGTTGCTGCTACCAGAACTGATGGTATCAGAATTGATGCCACCGCAAAATCGAATCAGATGCCACCGCAACAATCGAAGCAATCAAGCCATGCAATGCCATGCTGACTACCACCATTGACATTGATTGATGCTACCAGAATTGATGCCACTGCAGCATCGAATCAACCAAGCCAAGCAATGCCATGCTGACTACCACAATTGATTGATGCTACCAGAATTGATGCCACTGCAGAATCGAATCAACCAAGCCAAGCAATGCCATGCCGACACAGTAACGGCCTCCCCAGCGTCTTTGCAAACACGAGTGTGCTCTGACAGTCATGCGGACTGGAGACTTCTTTAAATGCCACCCCCATTCGGCCAAGATGGGGTCACCCTGCTGAGTATGCGCCGGCAAATCAGGGCCTTGGACGTCGTGCTTGCCTTCTTTGCCCTATGCGGAGCGCTGAAATCCAATTGCCTTGCATACCGGCCCGCAAGAGGACAGGTCATGCTCGTCATCGAGTGCACCGGAATCGCTGTGCGACGCGCCGGTTACTGAAGACCTGTCAATGAGGCACAGCATAAGATGCCATGCGGGGCCATGCCGGCAAGCAGCAGTGATCGAAGTTAATATTTCGACCGTGGTGTGGGTACGTGGCATAGTATTTATTAATAGTAGCGAGGCCTTCCCTGCAATCTGTGTGCATTTCACCCCGCGGCGGACACACCACCTGGCTGGACAGGCGAGCAGCACACAGAGTAAATCCCCAGCGCCCGGCCAGCGACGCTGTCCCGCACGGATCAAGGACCCATTGCTCACGTGGTCCGAGCCCGACTGGAGCGGTCTCTAAGACCACTCTGAGCTTGGGCGTGCAGGATGGGTAGGGCGAGTCGAACCAAGCCAAGCAAGCCAAGCAAGCCAAGCAAGCCAACCAAGCAACCAAGCCAACCAAGCAGTGGCACGTGACAAAGGACCACGTTTCAGCTTCCAACACATCCGGCTTGGACAGAAGCGAACACCATCGCTCAATACATCCGGCTTGGACAAATGCAAAAATGTTTGGCAAAAAAGGGTTTCCTCACGCTGGCTTCCCAGTGTGCTTTAAAATGTTTTGGTCAACGGCCGTGCCCCCGGCACTGAAATTCCTAATAAAATACATAAATAAGCTAATACTACAACAGCTTGAAACCTTAAATCGGTATATTGAACTGCACTATTGAGGAAATTGGTTTTGGCCTTCAAACCCCCCTGATCCAGCCCCCAAGGATCCAACCCTCAAAACGAGTGTGTGGACTAGTCAAGGTCTCGGCCACAGGGTGGAGGTCACTTCCCCCAGGAAATCGAAGCAGGCCGAGAAAACCCCCGACTCCGTTCTTGCCGTTCTTGATCCGGAAGCTACATCAGCCGTGGCACAGAATGCGACTCTTCATCGAACACTGCAGGGCGTGGTCAGCCCTAAACTCCTGCAAGTCTTTCTGAGGCACTTACCCGTCACAATCAAGGGGTAGAGGTTTTGGAGAAGACGCTCCTGTCCAAACACCAACAACGTACCATGATCCGTCACGTCCAAGGAGCGATGATCCATTGCGGCGAAAAACCGGCAAACATCCCAGTGAGAACTCCTCTGTTCGGATGCCCTCCGGGATGGTCTCGTCCTCGAAGAACCCTAGAGCCTCCGACAGAAAAGGTCTGTAGGCACACACGGCACGTGAGCGAGATGTTTACGCACGGTCCCACGGTCTCTGAAATTCGACCCTCTCTCAACACTTTGGGCATTGGGGCGGCTGTCTGACTATCCATGCTCTTTTCTGTTTCAAACAACTCCCGCGCCGTCAAGCCCTTGACGAACTCGCCCTGGCCCACGGTCCCGCTGCCCTCCAGGTCAATTTCCCTCGGCAATTGTGCTTCTTGTGTCTATGTGGGCTTTACGATGGCTTGGGGCATGCTCAAACAAAGCATGCTTTCGGGGATGTGTAAGCCTTTTCTTTACTTAAAGTGACAGAGTCCAGCTAGCCATGGCTTTGCTTGCAAACTCATGGGCAGGGCATGCGCGGCTGCTCCAGGAATGCATGCCGAGCATAATGAATCACTCATGCCTAGACTTGCAAGCACCGCAAACACTGCGCATCTCATTTCGAGTCTGAACACCACCATCCCGGCGCACGGCAACTTGCCACAAAGCGAAAGTGTATGAACGTGTGCAATTGTGCGTGCCTGGAGTAGTTTGCAGCAGCAACCGCACTGGCAGGAAAACAATTGAATGATGAAGATGATGATGATAATAATAATAATAGTCATAATAATAGTAATAATAATAATACTAATAGTAATAATAATAATAGTAATAATAGTAATAATAATAATAATAATATAATAATAATAATAATAGTAGTAATAATAGTAGTAATAATAATAGTAGTAGTAATAATAATAATAATAGTAATAATAATAATAATAGTAATAATAATAATACTAATAATAATTATAATAATACTAATAATAATAATAATAGTAACAATAATAGTAATAATAGCAATAGTAATTATGCGGACAGCAACGCGAGTAGTCATCGTACCCTAAACCATGACAGTGGGTAGATAAACCCTGACAGTGGCAGCCATCGTAATCACAACATATCACAACCGTCAAGGGAATCAGAACGACAGCATAAGAACAATCGCAACATCAACAGGACCAGCAACGAAAAAACAAAAAATTCACAAGCACTACGGTACACTCTTCACTGTTCCTGCCTTCCCTCTCTGCATGCCAAGCTCCAGGCCGAAAAACCTCTGCAGGTCCCCCGCGGGTTCGAGAGCACCACTGGCTGAAAGCCTGGCATTTGCGCCAAGACAAGGACGATTGGCTTAGGGTGCATGGGCTTAGGGCCTGGAGGCTTTGGGGGAGGCTTTGGGGGCTTCGGGCATGAAGCTTTCAAGTTTAGGGTCTTAAGTCTGTTGGCCCCATGGCTTTCAGGCTTTGTTGATCTGTTCTTTTCCCTTCAAGAAGGCTGCTTTCGCTGCATGGATTAGATTTCCCCGTTGCTCCAGCTTCCCTCCCTCGCGCACACCTCAGGGTCTAGGCTCTTCCAGTAGGCCACCAGTTTCCCGTCAGGGGAGCTTCTTGACGGCCCCACATTGACATCGATGTGCTTTGGTTCTTCAGATATGAAAGAACCCTTATACTGTTGAGGAGGAGATGCAGCAAATTGCAGAGCCTTTCGATGCAGAGAACTCAAGAGTAGGTCCAAAAGGCATGCGGGGTGCCGACCTCCAGGTACGCAGCATGCTCCGGATCTAAAGCCTGGCTCAGAGAAGCTCCATGGCCTAATCAGCCCAATGATCTTCACAGCTCTGACGATGCAAAGTGCAGCACTTTTCATTATGCCGTTGCAGAATTTTGGTTGAAGTGATTGCGGCCCTTGGCGTCGCAAGTCCAGCGGCGAAGTAGCTATCACAAGTCTCATGCCAAGAACTTCTTACTCGGCCTCCAGATTCATGGTGCCGTTCTCGTTGTACCCCAGCTCTTTCCACAGCTGAGGAATGTTGCCCTGGCGTGAGCTCAGAGTACTCAACAAATGTTCTGTGTCACGAGATGCGCCATCGATTAGTCTTGACCGTTGGTCGTCAGGGGCTTAGCAGTGGCCTGTTGGGCGCAATTGAGTGACAAACATCCCGAGTTGGCAAAATGCTGCAGACAGCAAGTCCACATCTCAAGTGTCATGGCCATTTGGTATTAACAAACACGCAGGCTATGAGAGCCACAGTCATCATGACGACACCGCTAAACCTCCAACAGCAACTAAGAACAAAGGGACCGCCCCGGTTGGTTCACAAAACAGAGGCAGCTCTGAAGCTCCTGGCGACTCGAGCTTCAGAGCTAAGAAAAATTCCTGAACCACAATTGGCATTCGAAAAATATGCGAACAGCAAATGTAACGATAACCATGACGATAACTACTCCGCGAATCCACTATTCTATACTTCCTAGACTAACACAAAGTTTGGCTGGCTTTCGCGCAAACCTTACTGCATGATGCCGGAACCGAGCACGGCACCCTCCAGCCGAAGCTGGCAAGGCCCGCACAGAACTCCTGGGTGGGAAGGAGTTCAATGTCTGAGGCTTGTAGCCTCCCGCGCCACTGTCATGGTAAGAGTGCCGAGCTTTCAGGACAAAGGCAACACCAGCAACAAGAACTAGTGGAGATGTAAGTAAACAGCATGTCGATATGGTCAATGGTGATCACAATTATAACAGTACTGGACATGTAATGCACGGACCCAGTGCGCGCTTACGGCGCCGACCTCGATTCCTCGTAATACCCCGACGAGGTATAAGTGTCCTTGAAGTCCAGCTCACCGTCTCCGTCAGAGTCAAAGTAGGTCCGCCACGCCATGGCTATCCTGCAAGGCACTGCAGGACTGCAGGGTGGCTGGCAGCTCTGATGTCAGCCTCCGCGATCCGCGAATGGAGACCAAAGTCGAAGCCCCGGCCCGAAATACTGAAAGCACAGTAGGTAAAGTAAATGGGTACAGCTGCAGATGTTGTGCAAGTCCGTGGACAAGGCCATCTGTCAGCGAAAACCGTATTTGTTCTGACAATAGGTTAGACCTCTCCACATCTAGTCAACTATTACTGATAGGATTCAGTCTTTCCAAAACAGATGCAATGCCAAACACTAGCATACTCAAGAGTGGACTCAGCACCGGGCTTGCCGGAGCCCCATTCCTGCAAGATGCTGCTGTGACGGAAGTTCCAATCTCCGGCATTAAACGAAGGGTCTCTTCCAGGCACTGGTTACGGCTCCTCCCGCTAATTGTGAGGACGCGGAACGCTGACAGCAAAGACCACTTCTCGCGAGGCACCCTGAAACCCCAAACTTTGAGCTCTCTGACCTCTGAAGCCTTTGAAGCCCTAAACCTGGATGCGGCTGTCCCGCATCTGCTGTAGGAAGCCCGACACCTGCATGCTCGGAGTGTACTGGGATTCGGTGGATTCTACCACTATCAGTGTTCTTGCTGTTGCTGCAGTTCCCGTTGCTGTGAGGATCATGAGTATTACTGTCACTATCACTTGCAAAATCTCATTACCTATATCATCGCTCCTTCCTGAAGACAACCCCGACGAGCACAGCATCTGGATCGGCGCAATCCTCCCCACAAGACTGCGGAGGCAGACGGCGACCATGACACTTCGAACAAATACGAAGACCCGATCCTGAACTCCTTGCAGCTCCGCTGAACTAAGCTTCAGCTTCAGCCTGCAGCCTCACTAGGTCTGCACCAGCTGGCAGGACTGGCTACAGTCGGCAAACATATCATCTAGCACAATCAGAGCTCCATTGCCGCAGCGACTGCGACGTTCTCCGGATGAGGGCTCAGGCCGGTAAGTGCAGTGCGTCCAGGAAGGGTACTGTAGCCGGCGGTAGCTGCGCAGACTGGAAAAGGGAGGAACTGCAGTTCACTACAGTAGCTCTCTTCCAAGCCAGACAAGGCTTTGCAGAGATCTGCAAAGTAGTTCTCTAAAGGTTCTTCGCAAGATTCTCTACGTCGAAGGCCTTATAGAATTCCCAGTCCCCATGATCGCAGACGGCAGCCGTCTCTCCACGGCAGCAGCTCAGCAAAGCCAGCAGAACCAAAGCATCCGAGAACTTACAGCTAGTTGCATCATCTGGTTCCCGAGCATTGAAAAACCCCTTCTCAAGCTGCCCATTGCCGCCTCATTTTGCTCCGATCTTTGTCGATCTCGTAGCCGCTCTCGGACGTCCAGATACGCCTGTGCTATCAGACACAGCGTGCCTTGCAATCTGTGCTTCAGCTGAGCCTCTTTGCCCTCGAACTGCTCGCGAGGCTCCGAAATTCGGATGAAGGCCTGCCGACGGCGTGACGGGCTGAGCATGGGACGACTGAACCGTCACAGATTCGTTGAGGTCAGGTCTCCCATGGGCCGGGGCAGATGCTCCAAAATTGTCCTTCGTGTGGATGCGGCTCCTTTTGCATCTTTGACCGTGGAATCACCACAAACACAAGACTTTGCATGCTAGAAACACTTCTCAAGGTCTACGGCAACCCTGGGGCGTGGACAAGTCCTACACAAGATCGCAAAGCGTCACACACCATCGATTTCAGTGTGTGCTGTCCGGCAAAAGTCTCGCACTTAGTGTCCACATGGTCCTTGACCCTCAACTCCTGAAGGACTTCACGAGCATGCAGCTTGCTGCCTTGTCCTCGGGTCTGCTGGGTGCCTCCTGCAATCAAGCTGGGGCTGTTGAGTATGCTTTGGACTTCACATGCCTGTACCCAGACGGCATTTCCAGTTGATGCTGCGCATCAGGTCAAGCAGCTTCGGCTGTCTTGTAGATCAAATGGTCGGTAAATGCGGGGAACCTGCTTTTGAGATTGAACCCCAGGCGCCTGTCTTGCCGGATGCTGCAAGCCCACATGTCAACATGCTGAAACTGTCAATGCTTACGCCGCATGAATACACGGCTCGGACACGACAGAGTCTACCTCGGCAGTACAAGGTCTAATTCGGTAGCACAAATCCGGTGAGCTTCCCAACTTCACAAGCGTCCAGGTCAAATCGGAAATCGTGGAACAAACTGTCCCAGCGTGCAGCAGGAAGCCTCGTCCGACATGGTGGCCCCCTCGGGGCGACGCAGGTTGGGCCAAAAAGCGGCATTCCTGCTGGTCCGGCGCAGCCGACATGAAACCACAAAGCAAGACTAGGTTGCGAAAGCCTCCTCGTCCTGACTGCTGCGCCACACGAACTGCTTTTTCTCAGTAAGAACTCGTGCGGGTGATCCCATGTGGCTCGCTCCCGACTTTAAACGAGTCGTGTTTTGGAGACCGGTGCAGAGATGGGACTTGTCCCCAAACAAACGAATTCTCTTATCGCAGCGCTCGGACCAACAGACATGCCTGCCATTCAAAAGGTGGCTTGCCCGGGAACAGCATCAAGATGCCAGCCAGCTGGTCAGAGATACTTGTTTTCCATGTGATCAAGGCCATGCCGGGGCCTTCGTCGTCCAACTGCCAGCATTCTTAAACTCTGATGCGCCAGGTTCAAGAGAGATTTTGAATTATTTTCGAGAGCCGTGATATGTGCAATGTACCCTTTCGAGGAACATTCTCCCAGATCGCTCACGTCCAGAGGAAGCCTGAACAAACTGGGGAACGAGCGAAAGGCCTTAAAAAAATCCTCTGAGCCACCTGCCGTAGCCACAGAGCCTGAGCTCTTGCTAGCTTGCAACTGTCCGGTCGATTGACCAGCAGCTCTCGAAAGTGACCTGTCCGTAAGCTTGAGCTGACTCGTACTATGGGAAGTGCCATGCACGTCAATCCGATTCACTACTACAAGCGGGTGCCCAGAGATTTGCTGGCAAATTTAAAAGTTAAGTTCAAATTTGTAAGCACAGGTCCGGCATCTCTTCGTTGTGCGAAGAGGTACCACCACTGTGTCAAACCATGGAAACCCTTGCCACGATCTGCGAAGCTAACATACATCTCTAAGGTAGGGCTGGCCCGAAATCAGCTGCGCGGCGGCGCTCGCAGGTACACGAAGCAGGGTCCCGGCAATGTACGAAGAAATGCTCTGTCATCTGTCATCTGCTGCAAGGTCAACTTACAGCAGTGGAAACTCCGGAACATGTTCTGATTGCTGACAGGACCCTCGGCGTTGTAGCAAACAAAGAGTTGATGAGTGAAGCTGCTCATCCTTTGTGAGCGCTATTATGAGTCCGCGCCATCAAGGGTGCTTGCTGCAAAGTCCGCGCGGCATACGGGGCATTTGCTGCTGTAGTCGGAACCCGACATCGACCACTGAGCGATGCAGGGCTCGCAGAAAGTGTGCCCGCAAGGTAACAAGGCCGAGGCCACTTCTGGCTCTTCCATGCAAATACAGCAGGGACCTAGCCTGGGCCCAAACGGACACGCACATTCCATCTTGGCCGACACGCCGATGCGCTCGATGACCGCCCCATGGCCATCCTTCGCCCTCCGGGCAATGCGATGGACCAAGAACTCGGGCCCGGGCCGGGGCGTTGTTTGCGAGGTGACCAACTCCCCGTCCCTGTCCCCTACTGGGCCCACTGGCAGCTGGGCCCAAATCCGAAACTCCGCAGATCTCTCTCTGCCCTTTGGGGTCTCTGTACAAACACCCTTAATCAAGAGAATCGTGAGGAGCAGGAGCTGGAACGCTGCATAGGGCCTCGACTCGGACGTGTTGCTGAGCCAAACCAACAGGGTTTACATGGGTTTACAGGCACATCCAAGAAATGCAAGCCGCGGTGCAACACGTAGACGGCCCAGTCGGACTTCAACGCCGGGGACACAAGTAAGAAGGTCGCCGCTAACAGAAGCATCAGCTTAGCCGCGAGTATCTGCGCAGGGCCACTGCTAGACCTCGGACCGCGTTCCCAAAAGATCACAAACACTTCCAGTAGCGGATCAGGTTCGGGCATTGGGCCTCTACGGCCTTTATGGTTCCTCAAGTCTTCAATCAGAGATGGTCCTGCTCGGCACCGCTCGGATGCATTGCGCCTTTAGCGGCTTCCCGTACCCGAGCGGTTCAATCCACGCTAACGAGATAACTCCTGAACACTAATGCCTGCTCGTAGGAGTGTGAGTGTTCTCCTCCTCCTGCTCCCCCTCCTCTGCCTCATCCTCCTTCTCTTCGTGCTACTACTACTACTACGACGACGACTACTACTGATCCTCGTGATTCTACTGATACTGATACTACAACTACAACTGCAAGCATTACTACTACGACGGCGATTGCTACTGATACTCCTGATACTCCTGATTCTACTGATACTACAACTACAACTACAAGCATTTCTACGACGACGACCACTACTACTGCAACAACGACAACAACAACAACAACGACTACTACTACTACTACTACTGCTACTAATCCTAATACGTACTGATACCAATACTAATACGAAAACTAATACTAATACTTATTCTAACACTAATACTAACACTCCTACTCCTACTCCTACTCCTACTCCTACTCCTGCTCCTCCTCCTGGTACTGCTACTGCTACTGCTAGTGCTCGTGCTGGCGCTAGTGCTAGTGCTAGTGCTACTGCTACCACCACCACCACCACCACTACCACAAGCACAACCGCAACCACTACAACAACAAGAACTACTACTACTGCCTACTACTACTCCTACCACCACCACCACCACTACCACCACCGCCTTACTAGAAACAGTGATGGCAGCAGCTTTGGTTGTGGTGGGTAGTTCGCTTGATTGTGGATAGCAATACAAAGGTCAAGGTCTGTGCCTTACCTCGTTCATCCTGCTGGTACCAGTGAGGCGCTAGTACTGTATCAGCTACCAATAAGTTCCGATTGCTTTTAACATGGGCGGCATGTGTCTATTGAGCCTGTTTGCCATTGTTACTTTAGAACCACCACGAAGGAGATGATTTGTGCCGCGAGCCATAGCTGGCATGGACCAGAACAACAGCAGCAATTATCACTCCCAGCCTCTCTTGACGATAGCAGAAGATGTACTAGTAACTAGTAATGCCAAAAAACACACGATGGCCATCGCCACCCCTAAACCTGCTCAGCGGCCCGTCTCTTGAGCTGAGGCTCTGTTCGTTGTGGCTTCTGCCCCTCTGGCCCTGTTCCACATCTTCTACTTCTCGTCCTCAGCCATCGGTGCAGGTCTTGCAACTCTAATGACCACTCGCCACTAGGTCACCAAAGACTCCTTTCAGACCTGAAACGAAGCACATGCATGTACAGGTGCTCTTGCTGTCATCATGTTTCTGTTCCCTTTCAGAATGTTCTCGTGCTGCGAATGCGGGGGGCTCTCTGAATGCCAGGCTGCCTTCCCAGCGGCTACGAAAGGGCCAAGCCATGGCTTTCACACGTGTCGCAAACGAAGCACCCCGAAGGCTGCAAGATGGAACTGCAAATGGACAATGAAGTCACGGTTAGGACGGCGAGCACAAGCCAAGAAGACATCACGCAGCAGGTCAAGAAATGCATGGACGATTGTGGATTTTCATTTAAAGGATGTACTGTATGTCTGTGTGCATGTCAGTGTACATCTGTACAATATAAAGAACATGCATGTTTCATGTGCCTAGATTTCTGCACATGTATGCGGCTTGCGACCCATCAAAGCCACGGCCAGAGCAAGAGATGCTGCAGCGGTTCCCACGCCAACGGCCGACGACGCTCTTTCCTTCGTGCCGCCGTGATGGTCTCAACATGACAACATGGCTCAACGACTTTTTGCCCGCGTTTTCCAGCCAATCGATCACAGCACGAGAACGCCTTTTGAAAGCGAGGCTGGTCCAGCCAGGAGGCACTGAGGCCTATCAATGTCCAAATCCGCTGCGACTTTGAGCGGGAGAGGAAGCAAGCCTCTTCGAGTCTTGAAGCCTCGAAGCTGCGAAAGTTTCTGAGCAATTCGGCCTCGTGCTTGCCTCTAAGTCTGGAGCGGCTCAGCCCATTACAACTGGGCTGCTCCGCATACAGGCAGGGCCGACCTGAGCACGTCACCGCGTTTGCCAGGCTGTAGCAGCGTCACACCATGTGACCGAGCTGGCCTCCTCGTACTCACGCTTTGTCTTCACCATTTTCGAGAAAATGGCTTCCTGGCCAGTCAGTAAGATTCTGGTCGCCCTCCTCCCTCTCTGCCTACTCCACCTACTCCTACTGCTCCTCCCCACTCCTTCCACAACGCCTAGTCCCGTCCCACCGACTGACTCCGTCCCACTGTTGCTACTGCTACAACCGCTACCACCACCACTACCAGACTACCACTGACCCCCAACCGCCACCGCCACCGCCACCACCACCACAACCTCCAGCTGCCCCAAGCCCCAATGATGTTGATGATGTGGGCGCTGTCGGTATCCCCACCGAACCGACAGGCAGGACTAGGTGGCAAACACATATTATCAGAATGCCACGAAGATCCACTAAGAATGCCCCCACCCAAGTCCTCGAGTGTACAAAGATCCCTCGTGTCCGCGCCTGTGCGAGGAGAGAGCCTCCCAGCCAGGCAGCATAGCGCCTTGGTGCTGCGGGGTTGGCAGCTGGGAAGCTCCCGGTCCCGTGGGGATCGAGGATGATTGATTGCTCACCGCTCGTAGCTCCTTTCAAGGTCCACCCTTGACTTATCTCATTGGTTCCACCGAATTCTACCTGCAACTTGGCACTTGGGACGTCGTTGGGGCGCTTTGCGTGAATCGGGCAAACACGCTGGTTCTTGGTTCTCTTATCGCACAACACTTTGGTCGCTGGCTGCTGCGCTCTCTTCTTGCTGCCGTGCACAAGGACCTGACAGCAAGAGCTATCCCGAAGCTGATTGCTCTGAGCTTGTCGTGCACCCCGGCAACTGCCACATTTCAACCGCTCCCAGTGCCAGAACCGTCATCTTTGCTACATGATCGAAATCCGAAGACGGCCAGCGATGGAACCTCATACGTGCTGAAACGGCAACTGCCCAGATGTTGATGTGTTGGCGCTGCCTCGATGTCCTGTGGCCGCCGGCCAGTGCTCAGCTCCGCCTGCAACAGAGCAGAGGTGAGATTGAAGCACTAGCAGCTAGCCACTAGCACATGTAAAGATGGTGCATTACGTTCGCAGCATGGGGATAAGGGATCACAGGGCATGAAGATGATCTTCGTTCAGGTTGGCGCTTCATAGGCGAAAAGTCCTCAGTCTTCGAAATCTTGGCCCCAAGCCTCAAACCCTGAAGCCCGAAGTTCCTGCTCACGAGCCTTCTGTAGCCGCTCGTCCACGAGGTGCTGCACATCTTTTTGCAAGCGTTCCTGACGAGTAATTACTTCTGAGAGAAGACTGCGATCACGGTGATGGCTACATTGGCTACACCAGCAGCAGCAGCAGCAGCAGCAGCAGCAGCAGAAGCAGCAGCAGCAGCAGCAGCAGCAGCAGCAGCAGCAGCAGCAGCAGCAGCAGCAGAAGCAGCAGCAGCAGCAGCAGCAGCAACAGCAGCAACAGCAAAAGCAAAAGCAACGGCAACAGTGGCGATTCGTTCGTACTATGGTCATTTATCTGCGTTCTATCTGTGTTCAACACATGTTGCTACTGCTCGCCAGCTCTGGGACCCTAGGAGCACTAGGAATAGCACACAGCAGCCATGGCAAGGCGAGCAATCAATGGTCATGATTCTTATGGTGATGATGCTATCTGCCAAATTCTACGTAGTAACAGCCATAGCCATCGGTTTGCTACTTAAGACCCACACTGTCGAGGTAGAGCATCGGCTATCGCCGGGGGCATGTACCCAGGGCTGGCCTTGAAGTTCTGAAAAGCAGTGGAACCTCCAGACAGGACAACGTTGCTGTAGAGCCTGGCCCGGCAGCTCGGAAATGCTGCCACATCGACTGCACAACATGGCTGGTGGCCAGCCACTAAGTTCAAGACCGGCGCCGGTAGTCGATGGGACACTGCGAGATGCAGTCATCCACGACCTTCGTCACTGGTTCTGCGGCGCAAACATCGCAAACTCAACGCAAGCGTCAAAGCGGCACTGCCTGCGGCAGAGGGGTCGTCATCCCATCAACGAAGATCTCCGGATGGAAAAAGATCTGAAAAAGGCAATGAGGCATCTTCGAAGGCTTCGTCCTTTAAAGGGCGCCCGAAGCGCCTCAGGAGCCAGGAAGCGCTCGTAGCCAATCTGAATCTTCCAGTCCTACCGAGACGGAAGGTGGAAGGTGACTCTGACTCTAATGCCCACTAACCTCTGCGACTCTCCGCGACTGGGCCTGCTTCGTTTTCTGGAAGTGCCCCTGCAAAGTCTTGAATCTCCGCGAATCCTGCCCCAAGGCTGTGGATCGTGTCGGTTTGGGATGAGATTAGCGTGGAGGCAAGCGGCAGTTTCTCAAGACTCGACAGGCTTGTCGGAGTGCTGTGTCACACCAGGAACAGGAATAACCGGCCACATGCAGGCTTCTCAACCCCGTCATTTCAACCCCGAGAGCGGCCTGGTCAAACTTCTGATACTCTTCGACCTGGCGACTGAAACGCCGGCTGCCACGCGACGACAACAGCGACCAGGGAGAACGAGGAGGAGCAGGACGACGAGGGGGAGGAGGAGGAGGACGACTGCGACTGTTTGTGCCGCTTGTCTGCTTCGTCCTCTGTTGCACGGGTGTAAGGTGATGGCAGGCCGTGATGAAACTGATGAAGTGCAAACAAAGGATGTCTGGATGATGCTCTTGATCATCATGATAGATGATGACCATGACAAAAATGGCGGCGATACGTGTGGCCGACGACACGGATGCCGATGATGTCGATAACTTTGCTGCAAGGATTGCTTATAGTGACGGATGGTTGGTGATTGTTGACAGCGGTGATGATGAACGCGATAAACTGTGCGTGAGTCGCACGACTACAAGCAATCAGAAACGCACGTCGGCTGTCGATGATAAATACATTCTGGCGAATGAATGTGCAAACTTCACGAGCTAGGTTAGGCCGATGACCCTGCAACAGAGCCCCGGTCACCACGTCTTTGCACAGATAGGCGTGTTTCTCCTCACGCGGGAAACGAAGGCCCGCTGCAGAAAGCTCAACGAGAGCGGATCGTCCAGCGAGCAGGATAGCAGCGGATAGCAGATGGCAGCGATAGCACGTATCGTCCTTGATCTGCCTAGCCGCATCCATGCGCTGCTCGGCAGGGACAGGCCTAGGCCGTTTCCAGCTCTTGGGTCACTAGTGGAGCTCGCGATCCCTGTCAGTCAGAACAAGGCTCCTTTTCGCCTTAGCCCTGCACTCGCCGCGGTCGCAGATCCTGGGCTCTCATCAAAGGCTTCCAGCCCTGTGCAACTTGTCACACACACGAAACAGAGCGGCAGCCACTGCTGGTGTAGCTAAAGCACATGTCGTGGACAAACTGCGTGACGTGCTTGCCAGCAATCTGCAGTTCCTGATGGTGGCAGATCGCTCTGACCCTACTGACGGGCTGTGTCATCATCATCATCGTCGCCATCACCATAACAACAATCACCATCATTGACCCATCATCACCGTCTTCATTATCATCACCATCATCAGGAGCAGCAATTACCATCAGAAGCAGCAGCGCCATTACCATCATCATCATCACCATCATCATCATCATCATCACCAGCAGAATTCAAGAGCAGCAGCAAGGACCGCGCTAATCACCGGTGTGTAGCAACAGGATTGATAGCAACAATCGCGCATAGCATTGTCGCCGCCAGCAGCAGCATCATTGGCGACAGTCTCAACTGCCAATCCTACTGCCATTTGTATGACGATGGCTACCAATGCTCACAGACTGTTACAAAGAAGAAGTAGAAACTGCGAGTGTCGACTTGGTTTGTAAAATGCTAGCCCCTAATAAGCTTGACGGTGTTGGCGAAATAGCAAAGGACTGGAATTGGTCAGAACCTCGTTTTGACCAGCCCTTGCTGCTCCCACACTTTCCATGAACGTGCACCAGTGGGCACTCACGTCTAATTGAGCTTGGGCCGTTTCAGCATTACAAATGGGCCCTGCCTCAGTAACTTGCAAACAGCACCACCGCCCGAGAAGAAAAGAATCAGGACTGCTATCGCTACATAATCATGCATCGACGAAATCTGCGGATGCAACATACTGCTGCAATCGTTCACCGTAAGTATCGGAACACGGATCAACACTTCAGAGTGGCGAGGATCCTCGGTGGCTTGTGCTGAGGGGAACTTGCGACAGCAAAGATCTGGGACCTCGGAAACTGGACCTGTCACGGAACCTCCACTGCCACGCTTGAAAAAGTAAGTTAAAGACTTTGAGCTATGCAGGGCATCTGTTCTGCCACGCACGCATACAAGATAGCAGGAATCGACCACAGCATGGATGCATGTAAAGGCAAACTGGAGTTAGAAGTTGGCAATTGACAAGACAAATATGCAACAGCTGTGTTCATGAAGCCTGCGAGTATTGAGAACGGCTTGTAGACAAGCATTGCTTGGCTGTGCAAGCCAACAAACTTGAGCCCTGGGCGTCCTCTTGCCGCCTTTTGAGGGTGGCTGGATGGACAAGGAACATGCCTTCCTCATGGCTACAATAGACTACCAACCTCAGTCCTTCATGCGAAACTCGAGTTTCGAGAAACGAGACCAACAGATTTCTGTTGCGACTAGATCTAATGATGCCGGTGCAGCTTTGTGTGCACGAGCTCTTCCAACGACTGCCCTACCTCTTTTGCGTCACCGAGGAGCATGTCGGTGTGGTCCTCTCAGAGTTGTCTGACCCCATCTCTGGAGAAGATGCAAGACCAGGCTTCTGGACTTCTGGAATGTAGAATTGGAGCAACGAGCCCAGCATGTGCTGCCAATGGATCAGATTGCTACGCCGAGGTGCTAGATCTTGCTGCAACTTGTGAACTGTCACAAACAACAGACCACGCAGAACCGATTACACTCAATGAAGCTTGCGCTCCTTGTAGAAGACGGGATTGTCCAAGGCCGCATAGCCCACTCCCAGGGAGCGCTTTACGACGATGCATTTCTTGGCCAACCAGACGCCTCCACAGCAAACTGTCTGTTAGCTACATCTAGCCGACATCGCTGCTGGCAAGAAGCAGAGTCAGAGAGCCAAGAGGCAGTGATAAGCATAAAAAGCGTATAGGGCGGAATGAAGCCAAGGGTCGGATAACAGGCATTCCTGCAATCGGACTGTTCGGATCGTCCTCCGCCAATGAGTTGACCTTACAGCAAGCATGCTCCCTCGAGGCTCAATGTCTATACCAGAACATGCTGTAACTCGGAGCCTTGAACTCCGCAAATTTCCGAGCGACATCCCAATATGTAGAATGTAGACAGCTCCTAAATGCCACCCCAAGTGCTGCGAGCTTAGGAATTCTTCCAGTGCCGAGTGCAACAGGGACTGCACTAGCCTGGGAAGACATCAGCAGTGTCAGCTTGTGGCACATCCGTCTTGCGAACCAACAACCCTTCGGATGAAGGGTTTGAAGGTGAGAGCCGGCATAACTGACAAAATGGCAAGCGGGGAGATGCCGTGGTTGTGTTCCTGGAGGGCCCGAGGAATGGAGGCTTTCTGCATCCTAAATCCGAATTACGATGCCGAAGTTTCTGTGTATGTCTTGTGCGGGTCAGCTTCTGTATCGTTGGCGCCGACGACCAGTGAAACGTCCACGTCTTCCCAGTCGGAGGGGTCATTCAACTCATCCATCTCCAGGACCTGCAACCAAATCATGCAGGAAGCGTTACCCTCAAACACAATCAATGTGAAAAAGGTAAGCGTTTAGACTCTAGACCTCACAGCACGGTAGATGACAACACTATGACGACCATCCACAGCTCACGAATGAGTTTCAAAGCGATACGCGGCACGGTACTAGTCAACCCACGATGCCAGGTGGATCGAGAATCCAAGAAGCATCGGCTGAATTTCTGCAAACCAGGGAGAGGCGCTCCGGCGAGCCTGGCCTGATCATATGGCACGCCTGCCTCTGCCAGCAGCACGTTTAGCTGCCCAGGCATTCGGCCTGCCACTGGGTGGATGGCGACCTTCACGTCTGTACCGTTCCTTGCGTACGGCAGACGCATCCGAGCTGTCACTGCATGGCGATGCTGAGTCCACCACTCTGTCAGCATCTCCAGCAGCTGCGCTAGGGCATATTGAGCCTAGCAGGCGTTTGCAGGTCTCGTTGCTCCAACTCCCTGATTCGTGTGCGGGTAAATATAGAGTGGGCGAAAGCATAAACAGAAGGCCTTGGATACCGCAACACCGTAGCCTGGAACGATGACGACCTGTTCGATCGCAGAAATCACGCTTTCAGTCCGCTTCCAGCAATAGGTGGTGAAGCCTCTGGCGAACCTTGCTGCTGGCCAATGTAGGCAGCCAGAACCGCATCAGCTTTCTCAAATGCTGTTAGGCTATCTAACTTGCTTTTTTGTCAGCAAGTTGTGGATCACTGCCGCCTTCTTGGCCGTCGCCAACAGATCGGCAACGTGGTCGTTGTTGGTAGTTGTCACCTCGCCTTCGATCCTTCGTTCAACAACCAGCTGGGTGACTTCAAGGGTAGCTTCCTACACTTCCTTTGTTTGCAGGCCCCATCCCGTGCTCAAAGCCAAGCTTCTGATAGGTGGAATCGCTCTGCTTGTTGGGCTTGGAGGTCACACCCAAGACTTCCAGGATGTTGCGATTCATTGCCTCCAAATGCGTCGAGCTTCTCATTGCTTCCCTTTAATTGTGGCACAGCAGTTGTGTCTACGTGTGTCTACGAGCTGGTAAATCACACCATGGGACAATGTGCAGTGGTCAAGAACTGGAAGCCGTTGTGCACAACCCGCCTCGCACATGATCTGACTAAGAATAGCACCGGACGAGCCGATGAGGGCTCCGACAATGGTCAGCCTATGGCAAAAAGCGGCGAGTTCACAGCTAGAAGCCTCCCTGGGCCCTAAGCTCTAGGCATCGCTGAAAAGACATGTTCGACGCTCCTACTCTTCATCTTCGTACCTTCAAACACCCTCGAGATCCCCAATCTTCACTAGCCGACACTAGCCGATTGGGCGATTAGGCTGCTGGAGAAGCGGCAGGTTGTTGGAGAGTACGAAGCCCTCGGCCGTCAGGGCCCAACCAGAAGCGCTGTTCAGGAGGGTGATGGCCACTGGCATATCAGCGCCTCCGACCTGCTTTGATCTGGACTTGGCTGCTACGATGCAACTGGTCAGCAGGTCTCCGGCTGTCCTGCGACGTCACCACCAGGCCCATGCCGGCCGCGGCTACGGTGCCCAAAACCAGCGTTGGGATCTCCATGCCGGGCATGGGGTGGAGGTAGGCCCAAAGCCCTGAAGGGGAAGATACTCGTGTCAATTTGCGGGAGCAGGGAGTGAGAGCGGTTTACTTTTGATCGATGCCTGCAGCAAAGGCTGCGGTCAATGATCCGGACAGCGCCTAGGTTTCGTTGGAGCCGGCACATCTTCAGTCGAAGATTAAGCCCCATATGCGGCGCCATAGAAATTAACTACAAGTGCTACATTTTGGATGCCACAGGCACGTTGCCACCCGGGATGCTCGCGTTGCCACCCACCAAGCCCTGGAGCTTCGCAAAAGCAACCATGGACCCAGTCACCTTAGCACGCACTTCTGCACCTAGTCGAAAACACTGCAGCTCGACAACACTGCGAGTCACATGGAAGACCTCAGGACGATCTTGCACAGCTGTATGATGTTGTATGTGCTTCAGACTCCGGCACCTGAAATGAGCTTGCAGCTTAAGCAACCGTCAACGCGCCGATGCCACTGGCCAGGTACTCGGATGTGGCATGCCTGAAGGTATATCTGGGTAGTTGTCAAAATTATGGCCCCTTTTTGGGTACCCTAAATATTGGGTGCCGCAATATAATAAGGACCCAAAAAGGGACCATAATCTTGACAACCACCCATCTAGGCACAGTGGTGCCCCGCTCAAAGTGGTGCGCGGGTAAGGCAAAGTTTGGTATTGAACCCAACACTAAGAACTGCGAAGGCAGGGATTCGAAACAAGAGCCGCGCATCCCTCACCGAAAGCTCAAATGTCGCGTCTAAGCATGTGGTATCTTTCGTGGTGGCAAACTATTCGGCTAAGCGAGTCAAATCTTGAGTTCGCAGCCCACTCGGCGGCAAACATGTTCCCACTCTTACATGCGTGAAAGGTCTTATTCAAGTCCAGCGGTGGTATGCAAGCTCCTTTAGGGGCGGGCAGGGAAGTTGCGGCACGCATCTCCTGGTTCACATGGTTCTATATGTTGGTGCCCCAGTACATGGCATCTGCCCCTGGCTGCTGCAGCGCGGAGGCGACTGCGGTCAGAGAGGCAGCCAGACCTGTGGGCGGGATTTTTCCGACTCTTCAGATGTCTGGGCTTGAGTTCCCCTCGGGGTTAGTCCGGTGTTCTAAGGGCCGGATCGAGG